TTTTTAAAATGACAGTACTGTTGAGTGCTGTTTTTCTTCTTTAAATGATACATGACAACAATTTGTTGTAGTTCTGGATTATCCTGATTCACACTTTGGGAACAGGGCTCTAATCCAGACCTTGGTAGAACTGCCTTGTTTTATGTGGCTTAAAGGAAACAGAAAATGCTTTACTTATACGATCGAGGGTATATGGCTGAAAGGAAAGACAAACAATGTTACATTCGCTTTTTTTCAAAAATGGCGCGATGCAAATCTTCCCTTTGGCTCCTCCTGACAGACGAAGCATTTGTGTCGCTCACCTTATCTGGTTATGGAACCCGGCAACCACCACCACCCCCACTAGAGCGAGGATCACCAACGTGACAAGGATGGTCATCATCTTCTTGACCTCTTCTTCTTCACATGGCACCAAAGAGCGTGTGATCAAGAGAAACACGTCAATGGCTTGTCACAAATTAAGTCAATGCGTGTCATCACCCTGGATACGCGCGTTGCTCAGGATGATTCTTCTGTCCAGCTTGGTGACGATGTCTTCCTCGACGCCAGCAAGCTGGAACACACATTCATACTTGCCCTCCACGCCGGCCGTCACTTCCACTTTCAGGCGGGCTGTGGTCTGGAAGGTTCCGTCATGGTTGGGGAGGGTCTCCCCCATCTCCACGTCCTCGTGGATCACCTCGCTGTCCTTCCTCCAAAAAAGGGCCGACGCACTGGGGTAGAAACCTGTTGCGTGGCAGGTGACGGAAGAGGAGGGCATCTTCTGGAGGAGAGACACCGTGGGAAGCTCTGCAGAGGTGTGAGAGGACAAAATAGGGAGAGGATGAACAAGAGGATGAAAGTCAGAGAATGTGTGAGGCCAAAAGATGACCAGAAAACATAAGGATGAAGATGGAGAGAAAGTGAGGAAAAAAGTCAGAGAAAATGCACAGTAGCTTGAAAGATGGAGAAAACGTGAGACAACAAAATCGGGAATGTGTGGGAGGATCAACGATGGCTTGAACATGTGACAAGAAAAGATGATAAGATACATGTGAATGACAGATGAAGGGAATTCGTAAGAGGATGAACGAAATAGCATCTGAGGACAATTGAAAGAACGATAAAGATGTGGGAGAGGACAAACATGGAGAACATGGTTGAGAGGATGAAAGATGGAAAGAACATGTGAGGGGGTGTCAGTACCAGGCTCGGACACAGGACACAGTTGCAGGGTTCAGATTTAAAGGGGAGATGTATTTGAGGGCTGGTGAGGAAATAGACAAGCTATGAAATAAATCTATGAGAAGCTATTAAAAAAAAAAAAAAAAAAAAAAACACACACATACATATAACTATCTTAAAATAGATAAAGAATGATGTACTCTCTCTGTAGTACTTGGATAAAGTTGCTGTCAGGCAAAAATTGTCGAGCGCTCCTCGTTTGATGATTTTGACATTTTAACAATTGTTCCCCTCCGTTTTCTGCTAAAGGAATGCGGCAACAACCAATGGAAGCATGCTTTCTCACACCTTCCTATAGCCAGCATATCAACTGAATGACGTTCAAAACAGAGCTTGTTCAACCTCTGGCTTTGACCCTGGTTGTCATGGTAACAAAATCAATATTTACCACGGTATCTGAGGTGGTTTTGCAACGTTCTGTGGGAACCCTTTACTCGGTCCTTTTACCGTTAATACTCGTTACTGTACTAACAGTAACGACCAGAAGACGATATTCTCGGTTACGCTCTTTATTGGATGCCAGGAAGTTCGAGACATGGTCGTGGAGTCTTTTTTTTTGCGAGATTGCGGAAGAAGGTCGAAACTGTCCAGCATGGTTTTTACTCTTTATACTCCCTAAGGTGCCCGCACCCAGGAGGGTCGCTCTGCTTAGCGTGTTTGCATATAAATGACTCCACAGTCTTAGCTGGTTCTGACTAGATATGTGGGCCATGGAGCAGAGAGATTAGGGACATGCTGAGCCAGGAGAAAAGGTCACAATGACAAAACGCCCTAGGTCAAGTCACCTAATTAGTTGTACCGAAAAGGGCTAATCAAAAACAGGGTGCAAGTGAGCACCATATTTTCCACACACCTAAAAGCATAAAAGGTTCTCAAAAGCCGACAGTGCACCTTATAATTCGATGCACCTTATTTATGGATCAATATGATGATGTCTTGGATGTCATATTTTAAAGCGCTGTGTTACAGCTGCAGCGGTATAAATATATAAATAAAGCTACATCGTATTGTATTGTATTCTCTTTAGCGTAGCTCCATCTAGTGGATGCATAGGGTAACCGCAACCCCTATTGTCGCTTGTATCCTATGCGCCTTATTTTTTATAAAGCGTAATTGTTTTTGTTTTAATGTGGTGAAAATTAATTAATTTCGTGGATGTGTAAAAAGTGTGAGAGCCACTGCCTTTAGGTTATAAAACGACTTCACGGAGCATTGCGATCATAAATGTTGAAGTCATTTGGCCGTTGTTGACCGTGCGCAGTGTGGTGAAGGTCACATCCGAGCAGCGGTGCCATTACTAATTGAGGGAACATCAAATATAAAAATGAGATTCAATGTGTTGCACCTCCGGCGTCTCCGTTGGATCGGACCGCCGGCGTCGCAGATGATTTTTGTCAGCCATCAGCTGCTGCGTGGCAGATGTCACCGCGTCGGTTGTCATGGTGATGTATTGCTTTTCCGATAGCCGTTGGCTGTATTGAGTGCACGGCGTCAACTTGTCCAAGTGCCTTGAAGGACTCGGAATGCTGCTCGCGTTTCCTTTTGGCGGTTTTGTTTTGTCTTTCGATTGCGCAGCTTCGAGGTGGTTTCCAATTTCGACCTTTTTGACGAACTTGCACCAAATTATTAACTACCCATTTTTACACACCCCCCGAATTACGCTTGCACCAGATTGATCACGACATTTTCTCAGTCACATCTCAGGTGCACGTCAGCGGCTGAAACGTTGCTATTGCAGAGCCGTTGCAGCATCGCCGGGATTTGTCATTGCCGTAAAGCGAGCGTTGGAAATAATCTGCGTGAATGATAATTCGACGGCACCAAAGGCCTCGGCCGCCCCTCCCGCCGCGCCTCGGGGGGTGATGGCGGCGGGGGGCC